AGCATGTTGTGCTGACCCCATTCCGCTCTCTGTACTTGACAACCAACACGGGAGCTAGCAGGACAGAAGCCAACACAGCGGCTGCAGGGAGACAGCTTGACAATGTCGAAAGAGGACGTCATCCAGCGATATGTTGATCGCTGCTTGGAGCATCATCCTCCTCCTTTCTTCAGCCTTGCTCTCCTGGAATTGGAGCTTGAGTGTGAAAACCAAACTGTGAACAAGGGTGGTGACAAGAAGCTCTTGAAGAGCTGCCTTCAAGGGATTGTAGACAGGCCGGATGAAGAATCAGTGCGATGGGCAAGGGCCAAATACTTCTTGACCTTGGTTGAGAATGATACGTCAGAAAGAGCACAAGTGAGGATCACACAGAAAGTTGAAAGGGATTGCAGCATTGTCTGCCCGCAAAAGTAGCTCAGAAGAATAGAAACTGTAAAAGTCGGCCATTCTCTAATGTTGCCTTCTTGCATGCTCAATGGCGAACATAAGAAAGCAGATTGAATTGCGAAAGCAAAACTGATTGCTACCAGTGGCGAACCTGCAAAAGCAGAATTATGGCGAAAGCAAACCTGATTGCTACCTCGCTTGATTCGTGCTGGAGGACATCATGTTGCTGCTTCAAACCTTCATGCTCTCCTCCGTCCTGATTGCTTGTTTCCTTACTTCCTGCCTGCAGTCGAGAGACAGGCGCCATGATCGTGCTCAGAGTTCCGGCCGGGGGCGAGATCAGAGCCATTTTTCTAATCATGAGCAGAGGTAAGGTTGAGACAGAGTTTCATAATGACCAATCTTTTGCACTCTGCTTTACGCCCTTTCCTACTCTAAATGCAGATTAGTGGACCGAGGTTTTATGAAGTCTGGCCCTCCCCCCATCTGAAGATGGTGGCCATGTAATCTCATCTTGAAAAATTGCGCTGAAGCAAGTGCCTGATTGCTTTCCACATGGACACCTTCCTCAGTCAACAGAAGGCTGAGCTCGCCATCTGTCCAAAACCTGGTCACCCATGGTCCTGGCCTCCGCGTTGTCTCCTAAGCCAATGCACTGACTGTTGTTTGCTAGCCAACTTCCCTTGCTGGTTCTCTTATCTGCTTCAGGCTTGAAGAGAAAGAGCAAAGCCAGGGAAAAGCGGTTCTTTACACAAGGCTCATGTCTCTTTCTTGCAGGGGGCGCAGTGCTCCCCCAGCCTCAGATCTTCATCCCAGGGGGTCCAGCCAATTCAAGGATGTTGATTCTCGGCGAGGAGACCATCAAGCTGCGAACGATGGCATGCAAAGGTACCTGCATTGGTCCTCACTTACTTGATATGGGACTCCATTATGGCATAAAGGTGTAAGTTGCTACCATTAAGAACTACCAGTAAATACAGGTTGCAATGCTCCTTGCTTCCTTTCCAAGAAAGTTCCCCTTAAGGAGAGCATATGCTGAAGCGGACAAACCATCTTGGAGAAGAAGAGCAAGCACTATGTCCTGAACTCTGATGTGCTGTAGGGCACTGCTTCCGGCTCCACCAATTTGCAGCACCATCGCAACTGTCCAGGTATACATAGGACTTGTTTAGTGAAGCAAATGCTCTGTAGCTTTAGCTTCCTCGGGGCTTGAAAAAGGACTTGTCTTTAACCAAGCCTGCAATTGCAGTCAGAGCCTGTTTGGTTGGGAGACGGTGCCGAGGCCAAGCGATGTGAAGGCCCTGGCACTGAAGATGGCCCCTCCGGGCAGGAAGGACAGGCAGGTGGCCAGCGACGCGGCAGCCAACGGCCACCCTAACCAGCACAACAAACCGTCAGCATTCAGGTAAGAACCTAAAACTAGCCACCTGCCAAATCTGCAAGGCAGCAGGCCTGTGGTCAGTCCTCTGGCTCATGTGAAAACAATTTCTACCGCCAGGTGGCCTATGTAGTCAGGGCATTGTTAGTCTGTGATTGCTGCCATGCTGCTGCAGCGTGCTTCTATGATCTACTTGTTTCTGTGACTTGTATGCCAGACACAGGGCGACTTGCCTTCAGAAAGCCTTGAAATCACTGTTCCTTTTCGACTTTTAAAATAAATGATGCTCTTGTGACCCCGCAGTTGAGGTTGATTCGCCCTCGTCTTGATTCCAGGTTAGAAGCTTCGCTGTAATCAGTCTGCTCCATTTGCCTCATGTTCCCAGGTTGTGCTGCTCTTCTTACCACTTCTCCCGAAAGGATATTGGCTAAGACCACGAAAGCTGACAGCTGTCGCCCTTTTGTTTGCAGCGGAGGGTCCGACCCGCAGCCCGCGTCCGCTTCCCTGCCCACCCCCCCAAGTCCAGGTGGAGTGTCCCCACCGCAGCAGTGCCGCATCTCCGCAGCGGGAAGCCCTGTGCGAGGTGTCAGTGAATGCCCAACAGCCCTCGCCGAGTGCCACGCCGCGTTTAAAGGCAGCAAAAGCAGCGGGAGACGCCCTCAAGGACCTGCCAGCGGGTGGTCATGCTGACGACGCCAGAAGCAAAGCAGAGGGCACGGCAGAGGAAAGAGGGGAGATCGGGAAGGTCGGCAATCCGGTGACGGGCGACCAGAACGGCATGGCGGGTGGAGAGGGAGACGGACGCGAGGGAGTCGTCATTGCTGACGTCAGCAACCGGAGGGAGGTGCCGCCCATCGAGCAGCTGCTGCACAACGACACTGCCAGCGCATATGAAAACCCGCTTTGTCGGAACGAGTACAGAAATTCCCAGATTGAGAGCTGCCCGCAGAACGGGGTGTCACCGGCGGGGCAGGGGGGCGTGCAAGTGGGGCCAGGAGAGACGAGGCGGGCGAGCGTTGCTGCTTCGAAGCGCGGCAGAGACTGGTCGGAGGGCAACACAGGGACCGGTACAAAGAAAAGGAGCATGGGAGGAGGGCGCTGGAGCACGACGGAGGAGCAGCCGGGCGACGCGGCAGCTGGCGATGTGAGACTCTGTGACCATTGTCCATCTGTTGGATGAAATTTGCCCTTCCCAAGCAGCTTGTTTACGGAAAAGAAGAGACTCAGTTAATGAGTAACTACTTGATGATCTTACTTTTTCCGAAATGCGAGCACTAAGAGATTTTTGGAGTGAGCGCACAGTCAAAAGACGTTCTATTTTGCATTTTTGAATCTGGCAGGTCTCAGATCACAGTTTTTTCGAGTATTGACGGAACTTACTTGCAACTCCTCCGAGAACCTGTTCAAGCAAGCTTATTTTTCTGGCTTGCATGAGGAAGCAATTTCACCTCTTCTGCTGTTACAGGCTCGCACCGATTTTGAATTTTGCCAGATTCTTCCGTAGCCCTTTTGTCTCGGGTGAACTGCCTGTGTTGGAAATGCAGTATTTGCGAGAGTACTGCTTGAATTTGCTCGGAATCTCTGTCACTGTAGAATTGCATGACGCACTAACTCAGAAAATGCTCTTAAAGATGGCTATCATTCTGGAGATGGCAGAAAGTTCTTGGTTCCCATGACAACCTCTTCAAATCAGCAGATCTACGCCGGACCGGGAAGGGACTCTGCAAAACTCTGCTTGTTGATACCGTCTTGCTCGTGCTTTACCGAGTCGTTCCTCAGGGTTTCCCTTCTTAAGGAGTGAGCGACACTATACCAGCATGATTCTGGTCAATAACTCCATGAGTACGTGCTGGAACTTGAGCCTTGAGAGGGTTGTCGCCCCCCATCTGCCGTGCTCGATCATCATCTCAAAGAAGAACAATTTTGGAAGTATAGAGCTAAACCCACCCCTTTTTGTACCGCTTGCAGATCCCCGACTGCCTTCATGGCCAGCCTCCGGCTCTGCCCAACTGCACAACGAACACAGCCACCGAGGCCCCTCCTGCTTCCGCTGCGTCGAACCCTGGGAGTCTCCCTCAGGCCCCTTCCCCTCTCCCAGAAGCCCCAGCCCTCTCCCCGGATCTGGTCTTCGAAACCGGCCCGCTGCTCCGGCCCGCACAAACTAAACGCCGCCGATCCAAACCCTCGCCCGTGAAAGCCCCCGTCGGTCTGCTGTTGGACAACGGAACTGCCGCGGGTGAGCAGGCTCCTGCCCGCGTGACGTCAGTCGGTGGTGCCGCGAAGGGAGTGCTTAAGGAGAGCGACTCCAGGGGG